ATACGTTCCATGAGTTATTGGTAATTCTAGATTGTTGCCCTAGGAGATACGAACCCAACCCAGAGAGAGTAAAAGCAGAAATATGAGGATACATTTGGAAATAGAAAACATGAAATCCAATTCTAGGAACTACTCTTGCGTGCAATAAGTTTTGGCTATGCATAGATTTTTTCTAGCTCTAGAAAAAGAAAATTGAAAGACCTTTGATTTACTCGTGTCTTTCATCGCAGGTTGATGTAGGTAGGAGGCCAGTTACAGGTCTCCGGCTTTATTTGGAAGGTAAAAGAAGCAACTGTTTATCCATCCACTTGCAGCACCTTTCCTCTTTACCCAAAATTTTTCAACTTACGGAGGATCCAAATGGCAACTTCCATCCGGAGTCATATGATCGCAGATATCTCGAAAAAGTTCAGTCCAAGTACTTCTCTCACGTGTGCACTGCTCCTGTCGAGGCCGACGAGGATCTCTCAATAGTAACTGGCGCACAGTTACAGGTTGTAAATCATGGGATGAGAAACATTCTTTTTCTCCGACTCCGCTTCTCTTCGGTTTTGGGAGCTACGGTTGTAAAGCAAGCAGAGTGGGAAGGTTCTCCTGGACTGGCAGCCAAATCTGGACTCATATCAACACTAATCAGTCATCATTTCTCAACAGTTCAGAAACCACCTCCAAAACCAGCTGATGTGAATATAAACTCTGCTATATATCCTGGGGGTCCACCAGTGCCTGTACAGGCTCCCAAGCTCCTGAAATTTGTAGATACCACTGAAATGAAGAGAGGACCCCAAGAAACTCCTGGGTATTGGGTTGTCTCTGGGGCAAGACTCATGGTGGAGAAGGGCAGGATCTCCCTCCGGGTTAAGTTTTCTTTATTAACCATAATATTACCCGACGAAGAAGAAATCAATGACAATTAGATCGTTTTGTTCGGTTGTTCAATGCCAAATATGAATGGAAGTTTGCATAGTAATGGAGGTGGATTATAGACTCCCAAGAATAACAGGAAGCAGCACGTTTAAGACCAAGCATAAGTGGAGTGAGAGGTCTCGATCGCTGCGAAAAAGAGGACTGGGAAGGTTAGTGTTAGATCCCTCTTAGGACAATCCAACTTCAGCAAAAGAAATGAAAGGAACTTGAGGGGTGAAGCAATGTGGAAAGACAATGTTGGATGACTCTACTGTGAATTCAGTAACAATTCAAAAGAGTCGTCATCTGTGATTTACTTTTTCGTGTATGTAATACGAATTCACTGCATCAAAGGTTTTAGAGCCTTTGTCCCCATATTGTACATAACATTTTCAGGTCTTCTGTGGATAAGTAGAGATTTCAAATGTTTTTCTTATGTCTGTAACCATTTATGAGAGCTTTTATATAGACATTTTCCTTTTTATTTGCTGAATTTTTAAGCACTTCCTCACTGTAATAAAAACTTTTGAGCCTCTTGAGGAAGGTCATGATATTACATTTAGGATCCACGTTGTAGAGATATTTTGAGAAAGGGTATCATAATTTCCCAGAATTGCCTTTTCTTCCTCTTGAAAAGCTAAATTTAAATCATAAGAAAATTGAGTGCATATAATATAAAATATAAGTTACAATTTTATTTTCATCTACACACTTTTAGTTCAAGAATGTTATTTTAGTTCTAGAACCCTTTAAAAAAAATTAAAAAAAAAGTTGAGCTAAGATTGAACTATCGATGATTTTTAAGGGGATAATAAATGTCTTATTTTCTGATTTATGTTTATAAGTAACATTTACGATATAAAAAAATTAAACATTTAGATTGAAATATACTTTTTATATAAACCAGACAAGAAAAAAGGTAAATAAAACAGGTATAAAAGTGAAATGATATCTACTTATTCATTTTTTTTTTCATTACTTGTAATATAACTTCTTTGACAATCAATTTACAGATCAGAAACTGATGAAACATATCAGCATTTGTGAAAATTTCCCTGTGGGTGAAGAATCACAAGTATTATTATTCTGAGAAGAAGCAAAGCTGAGAGGATTCCTAAAATGCTGCAGCTGCTTTAATGGAGGCAATATCATATTGTTTTTTAAGGACCTGAAAAATTATGGTCATGAGAAGGCCAATAGATCCCCTCTCTTTGGCATGGCACTGGCAGAGGAGCTGGCTGGGCAATGAAAGTGGGGATGTGCTGACCTGGCATCAACACTGAGAAATCAGATGCATATGATCTTGACACCTGGCACCAAACAAAAAGACACACTTAATAAACAAAAACATATGATTTCCAAGGTGGAATTCAGTGACTCGACCTTGAAAGAAAAGCATGTATTGTGTAATGATTGGTGCAGGCTAGTGTTGATGTTGTGTGTCTTGCCACTGTTGTGATCAAAGATAATGTTGTTGAAGAAGACAAGAGAAAATAGTTCTTTTTTCCTTTTTCTTTTCTTAATTTTCTTTGAATCCACTCGAATGTTGAACTGTAGAGATGAAACTAGTTAGGAGACTATGGTTGTTTAGATATTGGTAGTTTCGTCGTGAGATAAGTTTATGAAGCCACATGTGACACTCGTCTCTCAAAAGACGAGTTCAATTAACCTAGGGTGAGAAACGAGTGCCACCTCATTTCCACATCAGAAAAATTATCTTCTTTTCCCCATAAGTTTGCAAAGTCCTAATATTAAAAAAAGTATTGAATTTGAGGCCATGGGTAAAATTATTTGGTGGTTACCGACCTAGAATATTAAATATCCTATGAGTTTCTCGACTCTAATTTAATCCAGTTACATATAAACTGGACAACCATGTTTGTTCACAAAGAAAATTTATTTTAGAGCTCCTTATTAAGAGATTTGGGACCAGGAAGAACATATGAAGAGTTAAGTAGTTTAAAGCATCCTAAACTGAAACACTTATTTTAAGGGAAGGGGAAGTTCTGCAAAGTTGTAATGATATTAAACAAAGGGGGATGACAATCTAAGAAACTAACCACTTGGGGTCGAAACGTACCATATTCGGACAAGCGAATTTTTCGGCCGGACCCGAGCCAGCAGAGTTGTTGGTGACTTCATCAGAGGAGGAGGAGAGAGGAGAAGTTGGTCTGAACAGATGCTCAAAGATGGCCATGATAAGGAACATTGATATCAAGATTGCAGTGGCAACAAAGCCAAAGGAAATGGCATTCATGGAGGATCCAAAGTTCTTCCAAGGAGCTTCCTGACCAAAGTCTGTTTGAGCTGATGGGCTCTGGTCTGGAGTTGTGTAAATGTTCCATGACTTTGATCTTTCACTCCCAATCTCACTCATACCTCTTCTGATAACTTGGTGGTGCTGCTGCTTAATTTCTTCTTCAACTGATGAAAATGGCTTCTACATAAGAATGTATTTGCTGCTGATTTCTAGCCCTGCAAAAGAAACTGGTTTTCTCAGCATTTCTTATTTGAATCCAATCTCCAGAGGCAGAGCCACAAATTTGGTTAAAAAGGGGGCAAGATAGAAAAAAGAAACATTAAAATTTGAACTTCCATGAAAATTTAGCCCCTCCAACCCCACCACAAACACACAATATGGGGTTATTTGTCTTACCTTTCAGACCTTTCAGCTAAAGAAATGCAGGAAAAGGAACTTCCAATGTTTTTCTTTTTTGTTTTTCCTATTTGTTCATGGTTCAATGACAGCTAAGATATCAACCCCGCCCCGGGGAGGGGAGTGTTAGAACCAGAATGAGAAGAAGAGAATAGTAAACAGCAAGGCAAGCACTTACAGAAGCCAAGGGAAGAGGAAGAAGGTATCCAAGATTCTCTGTGATGGCAGTTAGTTATTCGGATGACGCGATATTGAAAATGATGCAAAACCATCTGCTATAAAACTAATCAGTTTCTCAAGAGTTTCTAAGTTTTGATTTAGGCTTTGAAGGGTAGTTTGCATCCAATACTCCCAATTCCATAGCTACCCTGTCATGAAAAAACAAGACATCTATTTTTGCTCCAAGCATTATTTAATAGAGAAAGCAACCAACCCAAGTTGCACTTTTCCACTATAGAAAAAGTATATAAAATAAAATGGGAAAAGGGTTAATGATAATTTGATTGCTACAGCTTTTTCCATTTAATTGTGATTCCTAGCTTAGTGAAAACTATACTTTGTCTGAAGCAACAAACTTAAAGAAAGCAAAAGAATGGCCCTCCCTGTCTGGGGAGCAAAAATGAGAATGGCTTATTGGTCATTTCAGAAAGTTCCCATCGATTAAAAGAACCATATTTCATTAAGATGAAAAGTTTTTAATCTAACCCGGTCACCATGAATGAGGTAATTAAAGGATTTTGGAAAGTTGGAGGTTTTACAGCATGCTTATTCAGATCATCACCTAAATTTCCAAGATAACATTTGAATCAAATAATTGTATGCACTAAAACCAGACCCATAACCATTATTTTCCACCTCAATAATGATTGTTCATCTATATTTACTGACATAAACTATGTGCTTTCATATAATTAATCATTCTACCATAACGGTTTTACGAAAAACACGTCATTATTGATTAAATGCTTATCATGAAAACGGGAGCCATACTAAATAATTTCTCTAGAGAAATTGTTGGAAAGGGCCACTAGATGTGTTTGTTTTTAGATATCATCTAACTGTCCTAAAATGACAGCCACATTGAATAGTTTCTCGAGTTTTTTAATATCCTTTTAGCCCAAGAATTATTTTTGAATCATGAATGCATTAACCCAGTTCATATTCAATATGACCCTTTCAGATGTCATCATAGGGAGGGAACCAATATCTCGCACAATCTCATACAAAAACACAACCAAGAAAGCTGATGAAAGGAAAAAAGAATACAAAAAGCAGTTATGATATTGATATTAATTCAAGCAAAACAAAAGCTTGCCCAAAGTGAAGGCATGTCTTGTTTGTGTAGCCATTTTCTATCCAAAAAACAAAAGGAAAGGATAGCAAATTATTCCTCTGGAGAAAGAATCTAAAAATAAAACGACATAATAAAGAGAAGCAGAAGAGAATAATGTTTTGTTCACCTTACAGCTATGCTGTACCAAGCACATCCATATGATTCAAGAGAAGAAAGAAAATGGGTTGGTGGCAAAAAAGAGCAAAGGTAGGAAAGAATGTGATGTAGACCACAATTATTCCTCATATATCTCTCCTCTTCAAATAACCTGTAGAGAGGAACCCATAACTTTTGTCAGAAACACTAAAGCCATTTGCTGTACCGCCTGCAAGTGTAATGTGTGGTTAAAGTTATTAAACCATGCTTTCAGTTCCTTTTTCTTCTTATAAGCGGGGTAAGTGGGCTCTAGTCATATTATGTTCATGGTCTACCTTCTACTAGTTTCGGAGAGGCTCTGCGCTTTGCCTACCTGAAATCAGCTTCGGTGACAACAAATATTTAAGATTATTAAGGCCCTTGGTTTTCTGTTTTTAAAAAATAAGCTTGTTAACACTATTTTCACTCCTATATTTCTTTGTTTTGCCAAGCCGAAGGTTGAAAACTAAAGAAAAAAAGTAGTTTTCAAAAACTTATTTTTATTTTTGGAATTTGAGAATGTAAATGTGTTTTTAAGAAAAGGTAAAAACATACTAAAAAAAACTGTGAACAAACAAGTATAACTTTCAAAAACAGAAAACTAAAAACGAAATGATTATCAGACGAGATCTAAGTTTTGAAAACTTAGGGACTTGGATCCAAGACGCTGGGGTATCTTCAAACATCTCAACCATGGCAAACATCTCGAGCATTTACCGGAGACCATCATGCATTAGGGTTATTACCATTTTCCTCTTTCTTTTTTCTTCTACATGATTTTTAGGTTCATTTTTTTTATACAGATATTGTGATATTTAATTCATTACATCCCACCTGATATGAAGGAATCAGAACTATTAAGCAAAGACTTCTCTCCTTACTAGAGAAATCAAAGTGTTGTTGAAAAGAAAACTGCAATAATTACAACACATATGTGGCTCTTCTGCCTAAAATGCATTGATTGAGGATCTTTTTGTCAACAGAACAATCACCATGTCTGATGATGACATTGAAAGCCTATAAACTTTAGGACCACCTAGTAAATTTCAAAAAACAACCTCAGTTTCAGCAAAATGACCCCAATGTTAAAGAATTATCTGTCTGTTTCAATGAGGCTCATACACATAAAGTGCCTTAACCATGCCACAAAAGTCACACAAATAGAACAAAATATGCCCAAATTTTGAAAATCTTTGTAGCTATCTCCCACTCTTCAACCGCTAAAACAAACAAACGAAATGAAAACCAAAATCCCATTTTCATGTGCAGACAAATGGATCATCATAACAAGATTTGATGAAGTTTGAGAATGTGGTTCATCAATTTCTCTCACAAAACAGACAACCCATTTCATTTCATGCAAAAGGGCAGCAGAAAAAGAAAAAAAAAAAAAGAGGGAAAACAAGTTTCCATTTCCATGTAAGACATTTTTTAAAAGCAAAGGGCCCCATGAAAAGAAAGCACACTAAAGAAGAGGTTGAAAATAGATTGAAGCATAAATCTTCCTCTCCATTTCTCTCTTTTCTTTCCTATCCAAGTCCCCACCCTCACGCATCCTTTTACTTTACCAACAATCAAGCAAAAGAAATTCCTCGATGTTTGAAATCAAACAAAAGAAAAATTTGTAATAAACAAAAAGAAAAAAACAACTACTGCGTGGCAAAAAGTTGAAAGTTACATTAAATAAAATTGGGATTTCTTCACCTCTTCATCACGTTCGTGGCTTCGGTTCTTTTTCCCCCTTCTTTCGCTCTCTCACTGGCGACCCTCCACTTCATATCCATGTGCTTCTCTCTCCTCTCTCTCTCTCTCTCTCACTTCTGTAGTGTGAGAGTGGGAAATGATGGCTATGCCTGAAGAACAGGAAGGTTACATTGGAATTCTGAGTCAAAATGATTCTGGGGTCCCTACTTTTTTCTCTTGTGCTGTGCTATTTTGTTTGAAATAAATGGAAAATAATTAGGGGAAGAAAGGAATGTCTTGTTATGGAGATCAGTTTTTTTCTGTACTTCTGGTGAAGAAAAGGGGGAAAGAAAAAGTAAAAATATTTAGGAATCCAACCACAAAAGAAAAAACAAAAATTCAAGCACAAGCACATTAAAAATTGAAACTTTAAGCATACCCACAAAATGTTAGTTTAGTATCTGTTCTCCAATAGATTCACCTGCGGAGCTGAATGAAATCAAGGTTTTAGGTTTTCAAAATTTTAGGTTTGATTTTGAATTAGAGACGTTAAAATTGATGAATTTGACTATAAATTTAAGTCATCACTTCAATTCTTATAATTTTTGCTTGATTTTAATTTGGTGTTCATGATTATGAAAAGTTCTAAGATTCAAAAAGTTCATACTGTTATCAGACATAAACAAATTTTTTCAAGTAATAAGCTTTCCTCTTAGTTAAAAAAAGAAAATGTTCTTCAGATGTTAGCTCATAGATATCTAATTTGATAAGGTAAAATTTCAATATATTTTCAAATAATAGATTAATTTTTGCTCATCATCAAGGAAAAATCATCTTTTGGGAGCTATTTTATAGATACATCTTGTCAAGAAATGGTTTCTTTAAAATTAATTTATAATTATTTTGGAACCAACCACTTTTAATTTTTATTTTTCAAGACCACTTTATATGTCCAAATCCTCTAAAGATATTAAGAACAAAACTTGATGAGCAAGCTTTCCATAGAGTGGCTTTTTTAGGTTTTGATTGTTTGTTGATTATATATATATTTTTGAAAATGAATTAAAATAATAAATGTTTTTTTAATAATGAAAAATGTTCATTAAATCATAAATGGGTATATACATTCATTTTATTTTAGTTATTGGTATCTTGAAATAATTTGTTAAAAACAATACTTTAGTTCATGATTGAGCCTCCTCCATTGATTGCATACCAATTATAATTAGTTCATTTGCACTCTTTATTGTGTAAATATAATGGTAAATTAAGTATTTATTTATTTATTTTCTTACAAGAATATAATGAAACAGCAAATAATTAATAAGAGTCTGTTTTCTAAGTGAAATCAATGGCATTATGTGTTTGAGGAATAAAAAGGTCATGTGATAAAGTTCAATTCCTCACATGATATTTTCCTTTTTCCCCCTTTTTTTTTTTGATAAATTTACTTTTTAGTTCAAACTTTAAATTCTCTCTATCTCATTTCGGTGTCTTTATACCTTGTTTATGGTTAGTAAAAAAATACTTACATATACACAAGTCGGTAGGAACTTATTGACTTTCTGATGTGTCGTATTTTAATTGACTCAAAAGTTTTAGTGAGATCCACTTGTCTATTAAATACAATAGAAATAGCTTAATAAAAATATGTCACATCAGAAAGTCAGTATAAAAATATTTAGAAAAATATTTACTATGAAAAAGTGATATATATTTTATTAATGAAACGACTTTTTTACGACTTTTTGTTTAATAAGTTGTGAAAGTACAAAATTGTTTCAATTTTAGGCCAAAATTCAATCTAATAGTATTTCATTTACAAGAGTGCTATAAATTTTACTTGAGATGGAATAATGTTTTTCTCTTCTCTATTTTCTATAAGAAGTATTTTTGAAGCATAAAATTTTGTTTAATTATCGATTGTTGTTATAAGTTAAGTATGAGTAGGAACATGGAATTGAGATAGAATGATGAAAAGAAGAAAAAAAAATGTTAAATATACAAATGATTTCTATTCTTTGGGTTGATTCTCAAATTTGGTTCTTAATTCGTTTACAATTTTATCTTTGATATTTAAAATTCTCAATTAAACCATTTTAGAGAAAATTTGTTAAAAAAGTTGATAAATTATTAAATTATTATTTTATTAATATATTTACATGTTGCTCACATGTTACCAAACCCATGAAACATATCAATTCATTAGCAAAATTCGACCCATTAATTAACAAAATTCGTTTTTCTCAAGTGGCATACTTTCATGTCAAAATAGAAATTTTTTTAGACTCGTTGATAAATTTTAATTTATTAAAAGTAAAAATTTTAAAAGATTATAGGCCAATCCAAAAAATTGAGAATTTTAAAAGATTATCGACCAAGAAATACATTTCTGATATATATTTTTTCTAAAAGAAAAAGGAAAATAATAGTCATATATGTGTCTGATAAAGTTGACATTTATTTTTGCAAAGGGACAAAGTTGACATTTGATAACTAGATTATTTTTCCTACTTTTTTATTTTTTGTTTCTTTCATGCATTATTTGACTAAAAATGTTTTCATCATTTTCATTTTATTTCTATCATTTACAAAAGCATAGATGCTTTTTTTTTCCCTCTAACATCTTGCTAAACTCTTCAAAACTAATTGAAGAAGAAAAAAAGTAGAAAAAACAAAGGATTTTTAAGCTGATATAATTGTTTATTTTTGTATGTAATTATCATAAACTAACCATCTCAATGAAGAAACACATAGTAAACTTGTATTTTGTACATTGGTTTCACTCTTTAAAGTTGATAGTGAAGTTCATTTTCTTGCTTTTCATACATTATTTTTTTAAAATTAAAATTTGAGGATTTTGTTTGTCTGAATTTTCGGCCGCTTAAATTTGAAGGTGAATCAATATTTCTATAATGTAACAAAAACATCGACAAAATATAAAAATATCAACAAAGTAAATGTTTATTTTAAGAAATATTCATCGATGTCGGTATTTTATCGATATTTCTATAGACATTTTCAAAAGAGTAAGAAATAGATATTTCCTTTACCATCAACATTTAAAAGGCTGAAAATGCTCTAAGTTTAAAAACATTCATCATTTTTGAAGTATAAAACTGAGTTTTCCCCACAATTTGAGAAAGCAGTGAGAAATAGATAGTTGGGGCTGTGAATTTATTCACGACGACATGAAACTCATACATATTACAATTCTCTAACCAAATGCCAAAATTTTCTACTTACTGCATCATTTCTTCAAAGCAAATTTTTTTTCTAGAGCTCTCCACCCTATATCCTTCCGGTAGAACCCGCCCGACCAACGGATTTCCTCGACTGCTCGGTACGCACTGTCCCGTGCCTCTTCAATGTTTTTGCCCTTTGCAGTAACCCCAAGAACACGTCCGCCAACAGCAATGAAGTTGCCATTGGAGTCGAAGGAAGTGCCAGCATGAAATACCTTAACAGATGGAGCAACAAGCTCTGCTTCGTCAAGGTTTTGAATCACAGTTCCCTTCTCGTACGCCCCGGGATAGCCCTTGCTTGCCATTACAACCACCATTGCAGATCCCGGGGACCAGTCCAGTGAAACCGCGCTTAGCTCTCCTCTACAGGCTGCAAGAAGAACTTTTGCAAGGTCTGATTCCAACCTAACCATCAGCACCTATTTTCCCATCAAGGCAAGAGGTTATTCATCAGAGAAAATGTCAAGAAAAAAGGTTATTCTCTGTCAAGTGATATTACAACAGAGAAGATAACACAGAATTTGATACTTCTCACAAGATATAACAGGCTAAAAAGGAAATGAAAAATGAAAGAATATAGCAATTGCTTAAAAGAAAGCACTGAGCTTTCAGGATGCCTTTTCGTTGTACTGATATCGAGTCTCGACTTCGAGCTATGTTCCATTGTAGTTTTTATATCATCATCTATGCCTTTTTCTTTGTGTATTTTAGAGTTGCTTACAGTCACAAGATAGGTACCTCATCAAATAAAAGCCAGTCTTTTACTTGAGGATGAATGAAATATATAACACCCCAAGGAACGACCTCTCTGGTCCCGAGCTCGAACCATGAGTGCTGGAGATAAATGGAATTCCCCAGCCTCAAAGTTTCCAGGAGCTGGACCGTAAGCAGGCCCTTGAATTCGTGGGGGTGGCTCCCAATTATCTCCCAACCGAACTTTCATCGAGAAAAATGAAAGAATACAAAAGCGTCTAATTTCGAATCGAGAAATAAGTAAGCACAATTTCAAAGGAAATTTCTAAAACTTTATGGACTACCATTAGAAAAGGGTGTCAAACACAAAAATGAAAGGAAACCAAGAAAAGTGGGTCCACGGTTCAAACTTCTTCTAAGACAGTTTATTTTATTTGTACTTCTTCTGACCTTTTACAAGTTAGCCCTTTGTTCAATTTCCCTTAAAAGTATATATTCTATCACATGAAGTGATGAAGTATTTTATTGAAGATGAAAAATAAAAAAAAGTTAAGTCATTTCATATACTCCATAGTGTAAAAAATATCTAACCCGTTCTATGTCCGAATGTATACGCAAGTGAACGCAGTCAAATTGCACACAAATTAGTTTTAGGGTGTGTCAACTAACCTGACACTCGGGATCCCCGAAGCGTACATTGTACTCAATCAACTTCGGCAAGCCAGATTTCTTCTCGATCATAAGACCGGCAAACAAAACCCCGACGAACTTGCAACCTTCTTCTGCCATTCCTTTTACCGTAGGTAGAATTATAGATTCCATAACTATATTTTGAAGTTCCCTTGTCACTATAGGGGCTGGAGAGTAAGCTCCCATACCGCCCGTATTGGGTCCAGTGTCACCGTCCCCTACTCTTTTATGATCCTGGGCAGATTCTAGGGGTATGGCATTCTCTCCATCTACAAGGGCGAAAAAGGATGCTTCTTCCCCTTCCAAGTATTCCTCGACAATGACACGACCACCGGCAGAACCAAAAGCACCCTTCACAAGCATCGCATCAACAGCTTCATAGGCCTCCTCCAATGTCATAGAAACTATAACTCCTTTTCCAGCAGCCAAGCCATCAGCTTTGATGACTATCGGGGCACCTTGTTCTTGAATGTATTGCTTGGCTGCAGAAGGGTCTGTAAATGATTGATACTGTACCAAGTAATCCACGTGACTAAGTATGGTCAGATCTAAACAAAGACATAAGAGAAGAGTACATAAAGAAAAAGTTATTCAATTATCTTATGAATGTTTCTTAAATGCTTTGAACCTTTTACTCTAACTCTTTGTTGCAAGGCTAAGATCAAACGTTACACTAACAAGTTCTCTTTAAGTGCTTATCTTCACCGTGGGCATCAAAGAGTATCTAACTAGCCCCTTAACCAATCTATCTCACGAGATTATGCACGCCCAAACGCGGTCGAAGGAGACACGAAATAGTTTTCGGTTTTAAGCTCACTTAACCAACAATTATGCAGACAAATTTCTGTTGAGTACCAAAAAAATGAATACATTTTTTAACATGACATTGTTGGTGAGCAGTGAGCACTGGTTGCATACTATTGAAACCTCATTTTATACAAAGGCATGATTCGTAAACAAAATACCGAAAAAATGTGCAACATAAACTCGGCTAGGAGTAGGAATTAAGCAGATAAGTTCAACAAGAACAAACCTTTGCAGTGGGGATTCCATATTTATCACACAAACTCTTCATGAAATTTTTGGAGCCTTCCAAAGCAGCAGCCTCAGCTGAGGGTCCAAAAGTAGCAATCCCAGCCTTCACCAAATCATTTGCGAGCCCCGCAACAAGAGGGGCCTCAGGGCCTACAACAACGAGTCCTACATTCCATTTTCGACAGAACGAAATGACAGCGGCACTATCGGAGATGTCGAGCTCCGGAATACAAGTGGCATTGCCCGAGCTCGAAATCCCAGCATTGCCCGGGGCACAAAACACAGCATCACAGGAAGGAGAGCGCTGCAATGCATAGCAAAGAGCGTGTTCTCTCCCCCCTCCACCAATCACCAACACAACAACTCGTTCATCTGCAAGTATAAGTCAACACACAAGAAGTTTCAAACATCAATTTCAATAACAAACCCCAAAAACATCCAAACAAGACCAACTTTATCAAGGACTCAAAATTACCACTAGCTTTCTTAGAAGAATTTGAAGCCTCTGGGCTTACAATAGAGCAGTTGATGACATGGGAGGAGAAACGAGAACGATTTTGGAAGAGCAAATCCTGAGGAGGAAGAGAATTCAAACGGAGGGATCCAACAGAGAAAGAAATTGCAGAGCTACAAACTAGATTGAAGCGGCCATTGGGCATAAACCCATTAAAGAATCGGAGATGATTCTTTATCTGGCTGCCCCTATTGATGCTGCAAAACTTGAGCGACCCTCCACCAAGATTATAGGTAGCGCAAGACATAACTCTCTATAACTTTCTTGTTTCAAAATCGCCCCTGAAAACTGCAGAAACGAAGCAAGAAATTTAGGCGATGGAGATAAAATCGAAAGCTCCCAATCCCTTATTATTGAAAATTTCAATGACCCTTCAGAGAGGCGACACACCAATATGGAAAACGACCGAAGAATTCGAAGGGCGAAACAAACTGACAGAGCCCACAAGATAAGAAAGAGAAATTAATATAAAATATTGAGTAGGTTTCCGGACCGGCTCGGTCGTCAATGGGGAGAAATTCGACAGAATCGATTTATTCCACAATCCAATGGGTCAAGTCCACTGGTTTGGTGCTGCAAGTTTAGAAAAAACTGTGGATTGGGAAGGGAGAGAGCTGTAAAATTTTGGTTTGTTTTCCTGTTCTTACAATCATTGGGAAACCCGAAAGTTGAAACGTAGAAAGAGAGGGAGAAATTGGGTTTTGGAGGAGAAATAAAGAGAACATTAAAAAACTGACCTTTTTCGGGGAGCTACTGAGAAAGCAGCAGCGCAGCGAGAAATGGAGAGTGAAGTGTTGAAGAAGAAGAGGAACGGCGAAGAGAAGACAGTGGGCGGAAGAATCGGGCCAGTGACTGCCAGCCGCCGCTGCAGGTCCAGAAATTCTTCAGAATTCTTACCAAACGTGGGATTTTTCCTCTTAGAAGAGGGATTTTTTTTTTAATATTTAATAATATAGTTTTTTCACTGCATTACATGACGCTGAAGATTCAGACTATTAACCTCATGGTTGATGTTGAATTATACTCAGTTGACGGGGAGAGAAGAGATTTTAATAAGTAATACTTAGTTATAATTTATTTTAAAAAAAATATTGAGATTTCAACTGGCTTGCAAGATCATTCTAAAGTCACCCCATATACTTAAAATAGGTATATGTTTTCTCTCCTACCATTTTTCTTTTAAAGTTAGGTAAATAGACAAAGTTGGCTTTGTAAGAGATGACTTGGTGACGGTAAGAATTTTCAAAACATTGTTTTTTAAATAAGTTTCAAATTAGTATTAATTTTAAAATAGATTTAAAAATTAACATTATTAAAGAAACCCTTCAAGATAGGGAAACATTAACAAAAAGGGTGAAAAAAAAAGTAAACTTTCCATTTTTAATACGAGCTATTATCACCTAAAATGACCCATCCCTTTAAAAACTTAAGCCATTGTCGTTTTAACGGTTCAAATTCTCACTCTTACCATTATAATGTTATTATAATTGTATTTAACAGCAACAATTTTAGAAGTTTAATGATATAATGTCAAATAATAATAATAATAATTATTGCATTAACTTTGTAACTTCAAATAATGGGTCAAATTGAAGTATAATTATATATATTTGAAAGTACTTATAAAAAAAAAGTACTTCTTTATAAGAATTTAGAAGAATGTTTCGTAATAAATCTGAGTTTGGTTCTAGGATTCTAAAAACACAATACAAGTGTTTTCCCACCTAACACTTCATTTTTCAAAAACACTTTTACACGTTACTCCAATTGAGAAATACATCTATGGCAAAAATGATTTTAACTTGGATCTAATTGCTTTTTTTTTTTAATTTGGGAATTAAATGGGACTAAATTTGTGATAAAACCAAATGATCAAATATTAGCTATTCACCATCACCTGATCGTATTTTAAAATTAATAAATGTAAATTTAAATGTAAATAATCTGGCGTTCATCCTCCGCATTTTCTTCCACCAGCAGCCATTGGATGATTTTCTTTGTATAAAAAACAAACAATTCTACAGCTATAATATATATAATTATGAGATAATTGAAAGTAGCAGCAATTGCTTCAACGTCCGAGTGAATTCCAGCAGAAGGCGAAGATTGAAGGCGACTACTAATATAATAATTATGAACTAATTTGGTGCATCGAAGCCCTAATTTATTCCCCTGATTTTGTTTTCAAAATTGCATTGCAGCTTCTGCCCTCACAATAATCCAATTGAGACTCGAAAGAATGAAATTACCTCCAAATCTCTCACAATTTAAGGGTTTCGAGGTGCTGCCGGAGATCCAATGGCGGAATTTGAAATCCGACCGATTTCTGGATTCGTAGTTCCGATCACCTAGAACCTTCAACGATTCAGAACAAAAATGCTTGCCGCTTGGTCGATTTTCCTATCATACGGCTTTCAGATTCTGGTCGTAGTACTCCATTGTCTTTCTCGTCGTTTCGTAGATTTCGAATTCCTATGAAAACCATTCAACAAGAAAGTAAATAACAAAGAAAATGCAAATCGAAGGCTGGACGCTAATCGAATTTTGGCGTTGAATCGCTATTCGCTCCACTTTCTCGGCAACCAAACAGATCTCAGAAAATTGAAGAAAAGGTGGTTTTATAGGCGGAGGTGATGGGATGAAACGACGACGTTCAGAGAAGCCCGGCCCGGCCTGCCAAAGAACTAAAATTTGGGCTTTTTAGCCCATTAGATCACTTGTGTTCTTGCTTTATGTTGGATTAACTTAAAAGCCCATGAAAATTTATTTGGACTCTTTTGAATGTACTTATATATTTTCTAAATATATCCGAATAAAAATCTCTTAACTAAAAAAATAAATAAAAATAAATATCATTTATCGCTAGCTATATTTACGTGGTCTAACAAAGTTATGTTTCTTTTTTTGGTGGCTGTGTTTGATAGCGAGCTGCATGATATAACTTTTTTTTTATAACTTCATTTCAAATTCTTTATTAGTTGAATTTTGAGTATGGTTAGTTGGCTTTCAAGACAACTTTCTAATTTAATTTTACCATGTATTAATTTGAGTTGATATAGAAATTTAGAGTTCAATTTAATGAAATTGAAAAAATTAAAATTAAAATTAGCCACAAAGTATAGGCATAAAATTGACTTTTCCTTTTTTAATACATAAAGAAACCATATATATGATAATTTAAATATAATTAAGTGGATAAGATATTTATTACTTTTCATCTCACCTTCGCATTTATTGAATTAAGAAAAATAATAAAACATATATATGCTTATGCATTTAAAAAAAAAATTCAACCCACCTTCCACACACACGTACAAACGACACGTACACATATATAAATACATGAATTAATTAATTTATCATAAGGTTCCCATACATAATTTTATAAAATTCTAAAATACTTAACAATAATTGGATTTGGCAAGATAAGGACTTCCATTAATATATATTGCATGCAAAATAAAATAATAATAACAATAATTGAAGTGGAAAATAAAAGTTTCTTCTTTTTAACCTCCAATAGATTCAATCCATCATTTTATTTGGATTTTTTTTTATTTATTGAAACTATTTGGATGTTTGTTAGTGTCTCATCAAGTTACAATTAATGTTTGTTATGTTATATGTTAGTTATATTTAGAGCAAAATAAATTATAGAACTATTAGTAAAAAAGAAAAAAAAAAGAAAAAGGCCAATAATAATATATTTTGGACAATTTTCATAAAATACTTTTTAAGTTAATAAAAGAAGGGCCCATTTGTCATTTATTTGAAGATCTCCTTTTATATAATTAAACTCTTTGCAAACAAGTTTTTACTGGAGTTGGTTTGTGCTTTGACATGTTATATATAAATGGTTAATATATACTATTTGAAAATATTACTTTTATGATCGAAACTTTCGCAGCCTCTAAAAATTATTTTACCCGAAAAATTTTAATGGGTGACAATTTACATTGAACATGATTATGATTTTACAAATATGACAAATTTTATTTATTTTTCCATATAAAATCAGACATTTTTATGTAATTCTCTTTTTACTTTTATATATTTATTGTCTATAAATGCCTATGGTGAAAACGTTTATTACTAATAGAGGATAGACATGAAAGCGATAGTTTCATAATCATTTCTTTATTCAACTTAAAAATCTCACTTAATTGAATTTTTTATATTTTTTTCTACTTTAAAGATTAAAGCTCTACGAATATTAGGGATGAATTAGAAATATATATATATATATATATATATGTATATATATATATATACTTCAAAATTACAAGTTTTCTTAAAATCTTTCTTCTATTTCTTTTGATTCGTTATATTTCAGTCAAGAAAAATCTCTTTAATAAATTTATTCATTTATTTTAAATTGTAAAATTAGTCATTTTCATGATATGGAATGGCGAATCACCTTTAGAAGTCTGAACTTTTGAGAAAAATAATTTAGGAATTAATGAAACAAACAAACAATAAACAATTAAAGAATATTTTTCTTCTTTTTCCTTTTTGGATATGAGGGGAAGAATGGGGTTAACTTTATTGAAATGGTTAGAGGGAATTTTATTTTTTAAAATTTGTAGAGAGTGACTTGGAGTTAGTACCCAAAAAAAAAAATAGTGATTTGGAGGGAAACTTAAAAGGTTTAGATAGAAGATATGACAAGACAACACACGAGCAATTTTGTCAAAGAATTTACTAAATACTAGAGTGCTGCTACAGGGAATGCTACCTTGACTCTGCTACTTCTAACGCTCGAACTGTCCGAGCTCCTGCAAGAGGATTAGCTCAAGGAAAAGCACTTGAAGTAACGGATGAGCGCCCTAGCGCATACTACCCACCAAGAATTTGTTAACAAGCTTGAAATTTTGAGATATGATTTCTATTCTGGTCGGGACAATTGTCTTTGTTATGTCATTTTTCTTAGTCAGATCTCATTTGAACGTTTTGGACTCTGATAACATACTAATATTCATGAATTCTATCTTAAAACCAATTGACATGAGTAGTCCATGGCTATTATAAACTTTTGTTAGGT